ACCTCATTGTAGTCACTCCACATTTAACTTCACTTCACAAGTCTAACCAGGATCCCCCAAAAAAATGCATATTCTGGTGTTTGGTTGAGGGGATTTAGGCTCCTTCCCCAAGAAAATGTGATGTTATTTGGCTTAAAACTGCATTTTCACATAATTTTGGACCATTATTGTTAATGTTGATCCTGAAATACTCGATCTGAAATCAGCGAGTACGTGAGTCTACGAACCAATAGCAAGTTATGTATTGATAAACTTTATAGTTACACACCCAGATAAAATGACAGTTTTCCTGGAAATCAGTTCCTCTTTGCCGCACTCAAACAGCAGCCTACTGTGCAGCCACTGGTAAGTACTGCCATAGAGCAGAAGAAGAAGAATTGATTTCTGGTAAATAGTAGGCTGCACGATATGAGGAAAGTTTGTGGTGTGCGATAACACTGTTCAATATTGTGATGACACTATAATTTGATTTGAACTATGATTTCCTAATCTTCCAATAGCCATTTTTGTTCACTTCCTCAGTGGGTGTGGCCACTAGCTGGCTCCCTGAGTTACATTCCAAAATGGTGGCTTGCTAGCTCGATAGGTAGCTAGGAATTCTGAAAATAATTTTACATATTTGTGGGTGTTTTTTCTAATATATTTGTGTACTACCAGTGTCAAACCAAACCGGTTCCATGTTCTCTTTAAGAATACTGAAAAAATGATGTATATGCATGCTATGTTCATGTATCTGGTTATACTATCTCTTGGACAATGGTCATCACTGTGTGTGTGTGTGTGTGAGAGAGTGTGAGTGTGTGTGTGTGTGTGTGTGTGTGTGTGTGTGTGTGGCTATATCCTGCCTATTATTGGCAGGACTGTCCCCTGCAGTCAGAACAGAGAAGAGTGAGTGATGATGTGGCGGTGAGAGAGTCAGGAGTGAAGCAATATAAAGGATGGGTAGAGGTAAACCAGAATAGGGAAGGAGGGTGAGAGGAATGGCTGCACGGCATGCATGAAATATGTTGCAGTTATTCTTACAATGAATGCAACTATTATGTGGCTTTAGATTAGATTCTCCACTTTCAAGTGTAATCCTATAGACAAAAGGTTTCCATTGTTGACCATTGTCCTCACATTGAGAAGCATGTCTTCTAGATGCCTCCATGTTTAGTTCATAACATAAAAACAAAAAAAATCCCCATGTTGTGCAGCCGTCTGGACACGGACATGTTCTTTTAATGTTGAGACTTTGGTTTGAATTCGATGTGATGCTCAACCTTTAAAGAGAGGGAGGAAAAGGAAGGAGAGCAGGCAGGGTGGTGGAGAGTGAGTAAGTGAGCGAGAGGAGGAGGAGGAAGAAGGAGGATGCAGTGCACAAAGCACCAGAGCAGCAGGTTGCTATAACAACAGCACCTTAGTGGTTCCATCTCTGTCTCTCTTCTCTCCCTCCCTCTCCCTCTCTGATCACCCTCTCATCGTTTGCTCCCCGCTGTCATTTGGCGCGCTGTGCCTTTCCATCAAGCCACCTATCCCATCCTCCCTCCCTCCCTCCCTGCCTTCCCACCATCATCACCCCCCACCCCCACCACCACCACCTCTTCTCTCCTTCACCCTCTCTCCTCCTCTTCATCTTCATGTTCTGGTAGCTCTTCCACTCAAAGGAAAAAGACCATCTGCCTGACAAATAAATCCCTTCTTCCTCCTTGTGTGTGTGCGTCTCTCTTACCTTTGTCTCTCTGTACTTTTGTCATTCTCTCTCTTTCGCTCTGTCTGTTGTGGGAGCAGACAGAGGAGCAGTCAGCAGGTGTTTATGTCAAAGAGTACAGAGAGAGACGCAGGAGGGGAAACAAGCAGCGCTCTCTTCCTTTTCCTCTCCCTCCTGTCTTTGCTCTTTTGCATCCTCTCGTCCTTTTTACTCTGATGCTCTTTTTCCCTCTGTTCTCGAGCACTCCGGCTTGATTAAACTGCTTCATATTTCTTTGTCTCTGCCTCTCCATGTCTTCTCCCGGCTCAGATTCTTTCTCTCACACATGCAAACACTCCATTCCTCTCACTTCAGTTCACTTCAAAGGTATTTTATTGCTGTGATTGTCAAATGAATAAAAATATTGTCAGGTTCTGTTTGCAGTGCCTGACAGGTATATTACTGTAATTCAGAGGTGTAATTAGTTGCTAATTGTGCTAAAAGAAACAAATGATTAATTAACTACAGTTAATATAAAGTATTTTGTACCGGCTCACAGTTTTGTCATTCATTCTGTCACGTTCCCTCAGGCTGTGGCGTGCTGACTCATACGGTACTGAGCCGACAGAACCACAGTCCATCTCTTTTTTTTTTTTCTGCCTCAACATATTTTTCTATTTCTTTGTTTCTGCCTCTATATTCAGCACTTATCAAGAAGGTTAAACTGGTAATGCTTTTTTTAATAGGTGGAAAAACCTCTGTTTGCATGTGCACATGCATGCATCAGTGTGGGAGGGTGCTATAGTTCACACCACCTGGATAATTATGGGAGTTTTTATAGGTGGGCCTTGAAAGGCGAGTCTGTTATTATCAACATGAGTCACTGGCATTTAGGGAAAACCTGTAACACACACACACACACACACACACATACACACACACACACACACTCACACACACATACACAAACCCAAGCCTGCATCCAGGAGACCTGAATTATTTAAACCCATTGATTGCAGGACCACACACACAAACACACAGAGTTGATGAAGCCATGTCGTGACAGTGGAGATGTGTGTTTTCCTGTGTTTTTCTCTGTTGTTTCTGTAATGGCTACACCAGCCTGAGAGTTCAGGCCACACACACACACACACACACACACTGTAGTTTTGGCTGTCAATAATAATAATGTTTATCATGCCATAAAGATAATTAGGCTGACTGTCAGTCATAGTGGAGAACAGAGTGGAAAGCCAGTCTGACAGCCCCCCCCCCCAAACACACATCATACACACACTCACACACACGCACCTACACTCATACACCAGTAAACCAAGAAAGTAAAAAAAGGATGATTTGTGTGCTCTTTGTTGTGGTGTGTGTGTTTTTGTGACATGGTATGTGTGTGTGCGTCTACCAGCTTGAGTGGGTCCACCTCAGGGTCAGAATACAATCTGAATATATTTTGTCTGTTGTTCCATCTGAATAACAAAGAGCTAAGTGTGCGTTTGCACACATACATGTATCAGTGGTACCGCCTTTGTGTGTGTGTGTGTGTGTGTGTGTTTGACTCTTTCACATGTGAAAGCTGAGAGTGTGGATTTTACAGAATATTTAAATATTCTTCTGCATCTCAGTTCTTTTTTTTCACACACAAGGCTATTTGAAATGTAGATCTGTATATGTAACTTGCAAACTGCTCCTACCAAAGTGCATTTGTGTGTCTATGCATTGGGATGAGTTGTACGCCTTTGTGCAAATGTGTGTGTGTGTTTGTGTGTGTGTGTGTGTGTGTGTGTAAATTAACTGAGAGGATGAGATAGAAAGGAGATTTCAAAGGTTCAGTCAAATAGTGCCAGTAAAATTTATTTTTTCAGTCTGTTATCGTTTTTTTTCCTCTTTCTCTGTAAATATACATTGTGCATTTTCATTAGATGGAATTCGTAAGCCCATTAATGTTTTTGTTAAATTAACAAATATATCTGTGATTGAGTATCTCTAATCTGCCTTCACATATTCATTCTCAGAGTCCTCATAAGAATATAAATAGAATGAAATAATACTGTATCCATAACTTCTGTCCCTCTTACAATGAATTTAATGTGAACTTTTATTTCTGATTTTGACACCAAAATTTTGGTATGAATCTTAAACACGGGCTCAGATTTGGGTCGAAGCACAAAATCTGTACCCTGGGAACCTTTCACAAATGAGGTCCCTGCTTCCCATCCTTCATTTTAATAGCATCTACTATTTCTCTGCCAACTTCATTAGGGTTTAAAATTAACAGGAGTTAGGAGTGAAATTGAGATTATTAAATTGCACAGAAGCCTCAATTTTTATGCACTTTACTGCTTTTTTCATCACAGTTTAGTTATTGCCAATTCCCATTGTTAACCTGAGTCTTCACAGCTGCCATTTTCCTTACTAACTTAATAACTAACTAACTGACATACTTCATACTTTCGGCCAAGCATTATTACTATCATTATACTATCATTACTGCCACTTAGACGTTTTTATAAAGCAAACTTTTTGGTGATTGACAATACTTGCTTGGTGAGGGTAAGAGGACGAAGTGGTGAGAATTTTAGAGTTCTCATGTGGGCACGGTCTTGCTTTGTTCCTGTCCCCAGTTTCTGCCCTTAACTTTGCCTCCCGTCTCTCCTGCCATGCCTCAGTTTCCTGTTTGCTGTCCCTCCGTCCCTCCGTACCTCCTCTCCTCTCCTCTCCCACCCAGGTCTATGATAGTGATTACCTTAACTGCCAGCCGGTGTTCGTTAGCACCCTGTTGTTATCTCGTCTGTGCCATGGCAGAGGCAGTTGGGTTTAGGCTAAGAATGGGGTGTGGATTTAGATGGGGCAGCTCAGTCGCCCATTGGCTGATGCTAATGATGGAGAGGATACTATACAAGCTGTTCTTTTGATCTTTCCTTCCCTCCTCACAAAACCTGGAGTCCAGCCTGCTGAGATTGCTCATTGAGAGGGCTGCCAGTCTTCTCGTTGCTTTGACCCGTCTTTTACTCCATGTTAAAGAAAATGTGTGTGTATAATGTGCAGGATATGCTCCATGTGAGAACTCAATGGTGTGATCATTATTTCAGCCAGGTTGAGTCTCTGCTGAAAGAACAATTGATTTGTCTCGGTGATATTTTGATTTTCAGCACACCTCTCGCCTTCTCACGACAGTTCTTGATGTGTGTAGAGAGGAAGCAGCCTGTTGCCTTATTGATTTGGTATCTCATGTTGTTTCCATTGTTAGCGCCCTGAAGATCACAGAAAAGTTTTCATATTCAGCCCTAATTTATTTTCTTTTTCTTCTTTGGTCCAGCTCCAGGAGACTGTAAAGAGGAAACTGGACAGTGCACGATCGCCCCTCAATGGAGACCAGAACGGCATCTGTGATGGAGGCAGCTACTCACCGACCACCAAACGGGTACGAAAGGAGGTTTCTGGTGGTTTAGACGCACTAACAGGTCTCCCTAACAACAACAATAACAGTGTACCACCCATCTCTCCTCTGCATCACCAAATGGACATTAAGCCTTTACTCGGCGGGCCCAACACTTCCGCCGGAAACAACACTACAAACAGCAATGGCAACCATGTAGGCCGGGCGTCCGATGAGCTGGGGAAGAATGGTGGCAGCCATCTCCCAGACGTGAAGCTGAACGGCTCACTGGACCTCGAGGACAGTTTCGGCCTCCTCAAAGACCTGAAACAGGAGCCGCTGGATGACGGAGGTGGGATGGAGTCCTCTGATCCCCAGTCTCTGTCCAATCAGAACAAACTGTTCTCTGACATCAACCTCAATGACCAGGAGTGGCAGGAGCTGATCGATGAGCTGGCCAACACCGTGCCAGAGGACGATATGCACGACCTCTTCAATGAGGACTTTGAGGACAAGAAAGAGGCAGAGTTTGGCAGGCCGGCAAACAATCAGACTCCAGGCCCGCAGGAAGCAGCTGGGAACACGACTGCACCTGGAGGGGGGGCCGCGCCAGCAGCAGCCCTGCCTCCGCCTCCACAGCCTCCACAGGGAGGTCCGCAGGTTCCTATAGGCTCACCACAGGTCAGTGTTAAGAGGGTCAACATGATGCCTATTAACCCCGATCCCTGCACTAAATTGTAACCACCTTAGGTGATTCAGTCATGTAATGATGTTTGTTTGATATTTGCTCTAAAGCTTGTAACTCACTTGCGAGCACTAATTTAAGTGACTGTCAGCTTTTAGTTGTAACAGACAACAGATCTGTCTGTCAACATGTTAGTATATCAGAACAGCAACAATTCATAAACCATGTATTAACTGCACAGTACAAATGACAAAATATCACTAGAGAATTCCTAGATAGTTCAGCCAGGCAACCGAACAGGAATAATATCTAAAAGACTATTAAAATATAAATGGTTTCATTTAGGAAATGAATATGGATTTGTAATTTTTTCTAATATAAGACTGAGAATGAGTAAGACTGAATTCTACGGAAGTACCCTTTTTGTGTTTTTGTTTTCTTGAGAGATGAGTTGAGATGATCAGCTCTCATGTTTGTGCTGTGAGTATGCAGCTGAAGCCCAGAGGTGATTATCTTACTTTAGCTTAAACATGTAAAGCAGGGGCTAACTGCCAGCCTGGCTCTCTCCAAAGTTTAATAATACACATACCATAATTTTCAAAGCAATCTGAATAAGTAAGTAACTATTTTTAATATGTTAGTTAGTTACTTTATTAGTTATGAGAGTAGGGGCAGTTGTGTCTTATGACTATTTCTTGACAAACATTAGTTTAACCCTCCCTTCAGTGATTCTGTGTGGTGTCTCCAGCTGAGCTATAGGTCTCTGTACAGACATGGTATCCATCCTATAACAGGATGGTTAATTTAGAAATCTTTAGAGGTGTTGATTGGTGTATTCTTGACCTTCGAAGATATCCTGGCTAGCTGTTCCTCATTTTTCCAGTCTTTATGCAGAGCTAAGCTAATCGCCTCCCAGCATTGTGTTGAACTGTTCATATAAGTATTGATGGTACATAACTCTCATGGGATTTGTGTGTGGAATCTTCTCCTCAGGTCCGACCATCATCATCGGGCCCTCAGTTTGCCACCACTGCCAATGGAACACCTCCGCAGCAACCACTGCAGCAGTCTCCAGCCGTTGCCATGGCATCAGGTTCACCATTGCACAACTGCGTGGCCCGTTCCCCTCAAACCCCAACCCAGGCTCAGACACAAGCAGTCTCTAGGCCTGGGAATGGATACATGATGAACCCGGGCCCAGGGGTCAGTCAGGCAGGAACAGGAACTGGAGCCGCTGGGGTTGCCCCTGGAGGTCAGTCTGTGGGGCCAGTGACGCCTGAACTTTCTCCAGCAGAGCAGCTGAAAGCAATGGCTCAGCAACGTGCTAAACTGCTGCAGCAGAAGCAGCAGCAGCAACAAGCAGCTAACTGGTCCCCTGCAGGCGCTCCAACCAGTCCCTATAACTCTGGTCCCTTTAACCAGGACAAACCCAACAGCCCCATGATGTACCCACCGCAAGCCTTTAACACACCACAGGGCCCTCTAGTGGCTGGGATGGCCCCCAACAATGGGCCCAAAGCCCCCATGAGTAACTACCTCCCTCACAACCATATGAGCATGATGGGTCAGCAGCAGCCAAACAGCATCAACCAGAACACCCTGACCAAACAACAGCAGCAGCAGCAGCAGCAAACGGCAGCCATGTTGTCCTACAACAACACCAAACCACTGAGTCACTTCAGTGGCAGCGGGGTGGATCACATAGGCCAGAGGATGACTCCACCCATGGGAGGGAACAGTCAGGTCAAGAACCCCATGATGCCTCCCTACATGGGTGGTGGAGGAGGCGGGGGCCAGGGAGCGGGGCCAGGGCAGACCCAGGGGCCGATCCCAGGACAGACAGCCCACCTGAGTGAGGAGCAGAAGAGGATGTTGCTGATGAAGCAGAAAGTGTTGAACCAGAACATGCCCTACAGCACCATGCAGCCTCATGGACAGGTAAGGGAACTGTTTGATGCCCTCTGTTGTCATTTTTTAATCAAGCTGTGTAGCTTGAACTATGATTGCAGGGTCATTCTTCAGAGAACAGGTTCTGTGGAGATGAGCGCCATGTGTAAGGGTGGTGGTGTTATAGAGCACTCAGCCTATGACCTTGGGAGGAGAACGAGACACCCTGTAGTTTTTGCTTGTCAGTCCTTGGGGAAACACAGGCTGTCCACTGGAGGTTCGCTATAATGGTTCAGGAATAATAACAGGAGCTAAGTTTATTTTAACAGCTGACTGGGAGAGATTACAGAACGCAGATTGCCGTTTTATAAAATCTTCCAGAGGTGCAGCCAGGGAAGGTAAAATGGCGGTAGTTGCCCCAGCAACAAACCAGGGCTGGGAATAGACATAGGAAAATGGCCTGTCGAGAGTGTATTGATGCCTCTGCAACACTAGCAGCACTGATAGCCCCCCCCCACTCCTCCTCCCCCAGACACACAAGCGCATGCACTCACACACCACGACTAACACCAAAGCTAAACGGCTCCTTTGCTCATATCCCCAATCTGTCACAGCTGACTGATGGCTGAGATTGGACTGCTAAGCCAAGCTAGCTGCTGTCATTACCGAAAGCCCACCCCGGGCAGTTTGTTTCCCGAGCCCAGCGAGCGGCGCAGCCCACTGTGAACGCTCCAGTGGTTCAGCCAGGTGTCAGGTGTCTTTAATAATCCAGTGGACAGAGGACGTTAAGGAGGTGTGGATGGACTATAGCTTAACCAATAATAACCCACACAAGTGAAATTCACACTTTTGTGCATCTTCTCCTTGCTCATTATCTCAGGGCCATTGTATTATCGTCAATAGAAAGTCTGTGTTGCTGGTTTGTGCATATGTGTTGACGATGCACTTGTCAGTGTTGTCTCCTTCTCTCTTTATCTTTCTATCTCTCTCACTCTGCCTCCCTTGTGTTTATGATATGGCTAGAGTCAGTCACCTCCTCCTCCTCCCCTCTGGTTGATCTCTGCATCTCCTGTCCTGCTCCTCCTCCTTCCTCCCCCCTCTGCTCCCTCCGTCTCTCTCTCTTTCTCCCTCTGCCAGAGACACTCAGCACCAATAAAGGAGCAGATTTATTAATATGGGGCCTTTGTGGCTCCTGCCTGGAGGGCTGTGTGTTTGTGTGTGCGAGTGAGGGAGTGCGAGTCCGTGCACATATATGTTTGTGTGGGTTTCATAGATTTAAGGGGCGGTGGGTGTAAGGGGAGGGGTTGGGGTGGGGGGGTGGAGAGATTTATTTGAGTGAGCAGAGGAGAATTGGAGACCGGGAGGAGAGAGGAGAGGGATGTGCACAGTAGAAAAGGAACGACTTAAAGGAGAAAGGCAAATGCAGAAAGAGATTTATTGTAGAGTGAGGATGGAGCATATTAAAAAGAAAGTCAAGGGCCTGGTGAGAGAGAAATAAGTGAGCAATACAGAATGGAGTGTCAGAAATGCAAAATACTCACCGTTCTATATGCATTTAGCACAATTATAATGACTGTAATTAGTAAGTAAGTTTATTTTCAGTGTATAGCCACACAGATCTCAAGTAACATTAGCAAATCAACTGAAGGACATTTTAGCAACATACAACAGAAATCACTGTGCACTGTTATAGTGAGCATTTATTAGTGTGTAAGTGGGTTCAGATGATGTTTACATCAGTATTTACAGGATAACGACGACTCAGAGTAAAGGGGCACTCCACTGATTTTCCACATCAAGATCGGTTACAGGTCATGTGCAGTACCCCTCAGTGTCTCCTGCGGCACTGGAGAAAATATGATGTCATTGTGATGTCATCATGGTTCTCTTGGCTTGGAGACTACAATCAGAAATACAGCGGTAAACACAGACATTTACCAGACAGGGAGAGTCTTAAAAAAAAAACACATCTTCAGATGGCATTGTGGGAAGTGTAGTGCTTTCGGAGCTTGGTCACACTGCGGATTAGAAGTCAGGATTTCTCAGCTTCTGCTGCTTTAATATTGGCAATATATTTTTAAATGTATCTCCCCTAAATCCTCCAACTTTTCTGAAGTGCTATACAAAATCTCTAGAGTGCTCTTTTAATGGAAAAGAATTTTAACACTGAAGTAACCTAACTGCAAGCGCTGCTACTTAGGTCGGTCATAATGAATTGAATGCCAATTGGCAATACATGTCAGCTGTAAAAGAGGTCTGGGCAAATCGGATTTCTAATATTAGAGTTTTCAAACCATCTGCGCCTTAATTGTACGCACATTGGACACAAATCTGCTAAATTCTTCGGTGTGTTAAGGTGAGAAATCGTGAAAATAGTGACAACATATGCCAAATGTAATAAACAACAATTTTTTATTAATTATGGCTTTTGACACATTCAACAACAGTGAACCCATTGCAAAACTCGTATATTGCCCGAGTAAGCAGTGACAGTAGCAACACCTTCATCACTGCTTACTGTTTATGTGTCCTGTCACAGGAGCTCACACATGGAGACCTCATGGTTCAATAACATTCCCCTTCTGCCCTACAAAACCTGTTAGCCTGTTAGTTTCCTTGTATCATTAGAGTGTGCACTGTGTTTACACCCTCTATCATTTCACACTTAATGATTTCGAACAATAATTATATTTTAGATGTTCAGTTTCCAGATACTTGATTGGACTTTTTCACCAATGTCTGCTTCATCTATTTGCAACTGCAGAGGATCGGCTCAGAAAGTAAAGGTTTAAACCCACTTGTTTTAATGTTTACCAGCCATGGCGCCTGGTATTTTTTTTCACTTAGTGAATCTGTGTGTGCGTATCATCATGGCAAGATGTATCTGGAGACACCCACTGTAGGGGGAACTACCACAGAGGCAGTTTTTAGTGCTTTGGTAGGTGTTTATATGAGACAGATCTTGTCACAGCTATAGTGTCACAACTGTGCAGGATGCACTCACAAAACTTTACAGGTGTGTAGTTGAGATCAAAATGAAGACTGAGTTCAAAGATGGGTGTGGTCTGACCCATGAGTACTGAGTAGTCATGTTATAATGTAGTAATGACTGCTGGTGTGATCCCATTGATGGTCTGCAGTTGTAGTTCTCAGGTTCAAGCTTGGTCATGGTGTTTGTGCTTGGGTGAAGTGATGCTAGCTGTGTCTTCTTTGTCGGCATTAGTGTATGCGTACATTAGCCTTTGTGTGTGTGTGTGTGTGTGTGTGTGTGTGTGTGTGTGTGTGTGTGTGTGTGTGTGTGTGTGTGTGTGTGTGTGTGTGTGTGTGTGTGGCAGTTGTCACAGGTGGTGTTTTAACATCACTGTCTCTGCTGTGTCCTCTCTCCCTCAGTTTCTCTCTGTCAGTGTGTGTGTGTTTGTGTGTGTGTGTAGGCTAATCCAGTTAGCAGCTGCTCGGGGAAACTTCAGCCTCACTCCTCAAAAGCTCGTTAGTCAAGCTTTAATTGTTGCCTTGCTTTGCATATCGCCATGACGCTAATTTATGCCCGTTGTCGCGGTTACCGTCGCCACAGTGGTGGATGTCTCAGTGGAAGTAGCAAGTGGGGGAGCAAAGGCGTGTGCATGAGTCTGTGGAAGATGTTTGTGTGATTGTCTGTGTGTGACGGATGATGCGGTGGCCTGTGTGTGTGTGTGTGTGTGTGTGTGTGTGTGTGTGTGTGTGTGTGTGTGTGTGTGAGGCAGAGAGACAGAATGATTGTGAGACGGATGTGGCTTTTTGCACAAGCGCGCATGCAGCTGTATGGAGCTAGCAGCGTGGGGGCGGGTCTTTGGGCTTATCTGAGTGATGATTGGATGAGAATGGATTGACAAGTGTTGGCCTCAGAGGAGAGTCTAGTCTTGTGTTATCCTGATGAATTGGAGCTGTAGGTTTGGCTGTGTGTATGTGTGAATGGATACGTGTTTGGAGGTGAGCACATGTGTGTGTGCTTTTGCATGTACTGTAGGAGATTATGGTGTTGCACACCGACTGCAGTGCACAAAGGAGCCGACACCGGTGCTAATAGCCCTGTGAGTCACGACACCAGCCCCCTCACACAAACACACACATTCACACACACACACTAACACTAAACAAATAAAAAGGCTTTGAAAAACACCCACAGGCATGCACACTCTCTGCTAAAGCCTTTCCTGCTTTTTACCTTCCCCACCCTTCTCTTTCCAGAGTCTCTCTCATCATCCTCTCTGTCCTGAGAACCCTGACCTCCACAAGGTCTCAGGGGTGGCAGACACACACACACACACACACACACACACACACTACCGCTGTCTTCACTAACTTAAGGACACCAAATCCAACAGCTGAGCTGATACTATCAGCCGATTTTATTTGTAACAAAAATACATTGTATACCCATCATATATAAAACAGCCAATAAGTATAACAAATTGCACTACAGCAACGCCCAACATTTGTTTTGAAAGGCGTCTGTTTAAATGAATAATAATTGCAGTTTTTTAATTTTTATTTGGATGGCTACTTAAATGTGGGAATATAACTTTAATAGTCAACCTGTAATAATTGGTTTGATTTCAAAATTCACAGCATAATTGGAACAGGCCGAGTCTTGTGTTGGGACATCAAACCCTCTCAGATGTGAATATGAGGAAGTGTTTTGGATTCAATGGAAAAATCATGTATAGCGGATCATTTTAAACTGTTAAACAGAACGTCAAGCAAATTTTCGAAGGGATGTGACTGCATGTAAAGTGTCTGCAAAGGTGAGACTGGATGCAAACAATTGCAAATTTGCTGGGGGCAGTATTGGCAAGCTACAACATATTGCTTGATGACATTCATCACAGCAGGAGAGAAAACTGTACGAAGCTCATTCACATCAGTTTTAGATTATGGTGATATAATCTGCATGCATGCAACTTCATAAACACTTAGAAAACTAGACTCTGCTCATCATGCTGCTTTACGTTTCAAAACAAATACTGGGGCAACGGACTCACCATTGTATTTCATATGAATCACTAGGATGACTT